CATGTATATATATATAATATATATATATATATATATATATATATATATGTATGTATTATAATAAAAAATATATACAAGTATTACATTGCACAAACAAATTATAATAAACCTTTTAAAAATATAAATGATTTGTCCATAAATATAACGATGAAACGTTATAAATAGAATTATTATAATTAAGATGATGAATAATATAAGAAATAATTTCCAATTGTAAGAATCACTTTCATTTTGATCAATATTATTGTACCTTTTCTCGGTATCAATCATTTCCAACCTTGTCCGTTTAAGTTGCATGATAATTATGATAATTTTGTTATGATAATTATGATACAAATTAAAAGATTATAAAATAAACTATTTGTACATAAAATCACTGTATTTTTAAAAATACAATTCATATATATTAAAAAAATTAATTCATTATTTATTGATAAGAATATCTAAATTGCAAAATAAAACATTTGAATCTGTTACATATTTTTATCTCTTTTGTTTTGTTAACAGATATATCATTAGTATGTTATGAAAATTTTTAAAAATAATCAAATTTATCATATCTATATAATATCTGTATTAATAAAATTAATACTGTATAATGAATTATAATTAATAAAAATTATTAAATTATTTTTATGTAAGCATTCTAAAACTACAAGTTACAAATAAAGTTATATTTTATATATTATTCACAAATTATTTTTACATCATGTATGCATATTTTAACTTAATTATATACTGTATACCAATCACTTACTAAAAAGTTATTCATTACTACTTTTTATTTTATTTAAAATTTTGTCATAACATTTTTAGATATTTATTTTCGTACATATAATAAAAAATATTTATTGAATTGATGGATATTTAATAGATTGTATTAAATATAAAATAATTATAAGATCACATTATATTATATGTGTAATAATATATAATAAATATGCAATTTAATAGGCTCTGTATAATTTTTGAAAATTGAAAAAAAATTTTTTTACTTGAAAAATATAAAATATCAAATAACATAATATATATATACATATATATATATATATGTTTATATATATAAATAATACTACAAGATATTTTAAAGCAGAACAAAATTTGGGAAAAACTACCAATTAAATTGTTGCCTGAGAAATTCAGACATTATATAATTATGATAGTTTATTGTATATATAAGTAATATTTGTTGTACTTTATACAAATTTAAACAATAGAAAAATCCCCATTTTTTTAAATTAATCTTTATCATTTTCAGAAAGCAAATTATATATGAATATAATTTTTTTGTAATCTTGCTATTCTATAATTACTTATTCATCACATTCATGATAAGTAGCTCTGCAGAAAAAAAGAATATAATTAATTTTAATTTAAAAAAAATCTAAATATTTATATAGTGATATTTATATTTATTAAAAATAAAATTACCTTTGTTTATCCATATTTCTTCGAGATAATCTCCTTCCATGCTCATGTGTAGTTAGTGTGTACCTTTTTGTATGAGGACGATTTGCTCGAAGTTCTCGAGCCTCTGTAATTTTAGCTTTTTCAACTTTTTGCATAAATTTTGTAATTAATTCTGGACAATTTAAGTTTTCTTCTGGTTCCCATGTATCATCTGCTGATGTAAATCCTTTCCAACGAATTAAAAATTCTCTTGTTTTATTTTTTTTAAAATGTACTTCTATAATTTTTTCTACTTCAAATTCTTTTTGATCATCTTTTACATCTTTTTCTTCATCTGATGCTATTACTTGTTTACCTATATTTAATTAAAAAAATTATATAACAATAAATTATTTTTAAAAATTTTCTAAAAGCAAAATAATACCATTTTCTGTTTGTTTTTTTGTATTTTTAGGTTTTTTAGATTTTTTGTCCACTTTATTTTTTGGTGATTTTGGAGAAATCTCCAACCTTTTAGCTTTAATATCTTCTTCATTTTCTGTATTTTCAGCTAAAAACTCTTCTATCAATTCTGGACAACTTAAATCCTTTTCTTGTTCCCATGTGTCAGAATCTTCACCATATCCCTTCCATCTAACTAAAAATTGACGTTGACCTTTGATAGTACGTTGACTCACAATTTTTTCTACCTAGATAATTAATTAATAATAATTATTATATTTCACTAATCTTATTAAATCAATTTACATAAATTATTTTTAATTGTATCTTATAATTTTTTAAATGAAAAATAAAATATAAAAAAGTTATATTATTAAGAAAAATATAGTATATTCTCAATACAGTTCATGAAATAAAATACAAGATATGATACAATCAATTGATTTCAACGAGTGGATTATAAATATAATATATATAATTATAAAATAAAATATTATATAAATTATTATTTTTTTATATAATTATTATTTTATATAAAAATTATTTTATGGAAAACTCTTTTCTAAAAAATTTCACTTTAAATTTTCGCGTTGATACAATTTTATAATAATTATGTTATACGATATAATAGATCGAAAGATAATATATAATATACAAAATATTAATTGTTGTTATATATTGTGTTATATTGTAGAATTATAATGCAAGTCAACGCATCAATAATTTTAAAAAATTGAAAAATTAGTTTATACTAATATAATCGATCATTTTGCGATTACTAGATTAGGTTAAGTTAGAGTTTTTCCGGCCGCCGTAAGGCGGTTGTCCATGCTAACAGGAATTCTTTTCGATTGTCGTTGTAATCGATTGATTTCTTTTTTTTTTAATTTTTTTCATTAGTTATGTATCATTTAATTTTTGAGAAAATTATAAAAATAATTATAAATAAGAGACAATACTGGTTAGATTAATAAATATATAGTTGTTGAAAAATACTTGGTAACGTACATATAAAATAATTTTTTAATGACTCTATTTAGGACTGACATTTAATTTTTTTTTCATAATTTTGAAACATATTGTAATTAATAACTAACAATGTTTTTTTATTGATAATATATCAATTCTTTAATAAATATATGTTACTTTTGTAACTAAATACGAATATATAGGTTAACTTTTGCATTTTTTTATAGATTAAGATGAACTTTCATAGAATAATTTTTCTATGTTATTATGAATAATATAATTTCTACGTTAAAA